GGACAAAACAGACTTTTCAGTTTTTATATTTGTTCCTAAAATTCATTTTAGTTTCTTTAGTCTTTAACATAAAATACTTTTCTTTTTTCATTAATATCACCTACATTACCTGTTTCTCTTTGACAATATAGAAAGAATACAACTTCCCTTGATATACTGTCATCACCGGAATATTAATGATACAGGGAAAGGAGAAGGAAGGGGAGGGTACACCGTTATCACTTGCCCATCTTTGAGGCTTTATTTCTCCCTCCTTGTGTTTTCTCAATATTTTTCCATAGCTAGAAGACACTGAGGTCCTGCCTGATTGCTTTTTATCTAAGCCAGCCAGCAGCATGCCCTCTACTATATTTAGGTTAACAGATTTACAGTAGTAAAATTATTCACAGTGAGTAGCCTCCTCTGGGCTGTCCTCACCCCTCTTCTGCCCCACTACAATCTGGTAGTCTCATCAATCTAATAATACTTTCTCTCTGAAGCACCTCCCTGTTTAAAGTCCAGCTTTTGGGGTACCTAGAACCACCTTAGGACCATCGATCTTCTGAGACTCAGTAATGCCTGAGTCATAATTAGCTTTTTAATTTAAACACGCTTATAGTCTTCACTCCCTATAGGTATATATTATCAACACAGTACTTCCTTTTTCTTTTTCTTAAAAATGAAAATTTTTACCTGTAACAGAGTTTCTTTTTGACATATGTTTAAACATGTATTGTTTTACCATAAATTTATTTTTTTCATTTCATATGTGTTTGTGTGTGTGGTTTCCTTTTTTAGAACAGGACATATTATTTCTTTAAAGATGATAATCAATGGGCCATTTGCTCGTTTTCATTTCCCACCAAGGTTATGTTCAGTTTAATTCACAGTCTTTCTGCCTAACAATGTGGGTAAAAATGACTTGCTCTGTTCAATACCACAGATTGAAAATAAAACCTGTGATTCCTAACCTCCTTTTTTGCACTTTATTTAAAAATCTTCTAATGGATTTTTCTTTTTTAAACTTTCCTTTACCTATCATGGAAAGAATTTAAGATGTTTATTTAGTTCTATTATTTTGCTTCTCTTCCTTTAGTATGTTCACTTTCAATTAATATACAGCATATCTTGTAATACTTAACCCGAATCTCAATGTCACTAATGATAAGCAAGTATAGCATTTTCTCCACATTTGATTTGAGCATGTATGAAGTTATATGCTGCACCCTTGGTTATATATTTCCAGATACCTTTCCTTTTTTCAGAGAAGTCTTTCAGTTTGTATCTTCTAAAATGAGTTTCACTTATGTTGGCTTTTTATTATTGGTCATTAATGGGTATTGTTTATTCTTTGTACCCTGCTGATACTCACCTGTTTCACTTTCATGGTTAATATTTTTTTCTACCACATATTATGCATTTATTATATGCTTTTAGTTTCTCATAGAATAATATTTCCTGTTTTCACACTAGTCCTCTTTTACTCTTTGATCCATTATCTATCCTTTTTTGCTTCAGGATAACTTATGAACATATGAATGGTATTAATTGAATACATCCAATTTTTAGAAAATGTCACCACTTGGTGCTGTCATAAAGTAAATTTAGTGCATAGTCCCTTCCCATTTAAAAGAAGTAAAATAGGGGCCGGCCCGTGGCTCACTCGGGAGAATGTGGTGCTGATAACACCAAGGCCCCAGGTTTGGATCCCATATAGGAATGGCTGGTTAGCTCACTGGGTGAGCGTGGTGCTGACAACACCAAGTCAAGGGCTAAGGTCCCCTTACCGGTCATCTTTAAAAAAATAAATAAAGAAAGAAAGAAAGAAGTAAAATAGTTTTTCCAGCCAAGATAGACTAACAGGGATTGGTACCCTTCCACCTGAAATAACTAAAGGACTGGACAAAAAAATGAAACAACAGTTCTCACAGACATTCTTCATCAAGCAACAAAAGACATTGATCCCTGAGAGACAGGAAACAAATCAGATGAGCCCCAGCTACTGCCTGGAGAGTTTTTAGGCATGGGAAAGGTCCATAGAACCAGGAGGAACTTAGAGATCTCCCTGAATTAAAGAGATGAAGCTTGGAGACTGGGAAACTCAGGCCACTACAGTTCACAGGGTAGAATACCAGAGAGGAGAGAACTTCCACAGATCTGTACAGGTCCCCTTCAAGAATTTAGTTGAGTACTGATTAATATGTGCTGTGAGGAAACTACTTGAGGCCCAGGAAGAATTACCCAAAAGGAATTGAGGGAACAATAGAATACTCAGAGATCATACAGGGCCAGGAATCTCTAGAGCCTGAATCCATCAGAATAAAAAACTTAGCATTTCACTGCTTATCAGTGAGAGCATTTCCAGTATTCCAGTTTTCATTTCTAGATGTTCAGTTTGGATCTTTTTTTCTGTGTCTTTACTTAACATACTTAATCTTTCCTCTGGCTTCTAGAGCATATGGAATACATGTATAATAACTTTTAATGTTCTAGTCTGCTAATTCTATCAACTCTGTCATTTTTAGGTTGATTTTCATTGATTGATATTTCTCCTCACTATGGCTCTAGTTTCTTGCCCTAAATTTTTTTTTTTTTTTTTTTTTTAACTTGCTTGGTTATCATTTGATGCTTACCAGCCATGTAAAAGATGATATTGTAAATTTTACCTTGCTGAATTCTGGATATTGTTGTGTTTCTATAAATATTCTTGTGCTTTTTTCTGAGATGTATTTATGTTACTTGAAAAGTTTTTTTTTTCCTTTCAGGTATTGCTTTTAATCCTTGTTAATTGGAACAATTTAATCCAAGGTTAATTTTGCCCCACTACTGAGGCAAACCCTTTGAATACTTTACTTGATGTTCCATAAATTATGAAGTTTCCCATTCTGGCTGGTGGTTATAGGTGTTGAGTTGAGGATTAGCTAATTCCTTCAAGGCTTGTTTTTAAGCTCTCTTGGGATCATTATAGTCTTTATTTTAGAATTAATTTAGCTCTACCGAGGTCTCTACTTATTGCCTAGAGTGTAAACAAGGTCCCTGTACTGTGGCTGGATGGAACTCAAATATCTCCAAGCTCACAGTAAACCTCTAAGTTGTTCATTTTTTAGCTCCTGGCAGTTTTTTTTGTTTTTTGTTTTTGTTTTTGCCTGACTGCATGGAATTTCACCCTAAGTGTGAGTTGTATTAAAGTGAGATTAGTATTAAGTTGAAGACTCAACTTAAGTTGAGTCTTCCAAAGTCTGGAACTTTTTTCTGCATAATTCCCTCCTTTCTGGCACATTATTCCAGTAATTCCTGCCACCTCTACTGTTCCACACTCTGATCTTTTTCTCTTCAAGTTAGCGAGGCTGCATGTTCTGCTTTGAATCTTCTACTTGCAGTGGTGTCTAGAACATGTCTCTTGGCAGAAAGCCAGAGTGCTCTTAGGGCTTTTCTAGTTTGTTTCCTTCCTTCAAGGAACACAGATCTTCACTAATTGTTGTTCAGTGTCTGGAAACTTTTGCATCATATATTTTGTCTAGTTTTGCAGTTGTTTACCATCTGAGGGTAAATCTGGTACCACTTACTTCATAGTGGCTAGAAATGTAATTCCCGTACTATTGTATTATTGTGGAAGGCTGGCAAAAGCCTTTGCTTGAAGTTACAGGAAAGAATCACAATGAACCTTGGCTGATTTTTAGTCTAATGGCTATTTAGCAATTGCATGTTTATGGGCTTTGGGAGTAGTTGACTTGGCAGTTGTTTTTCCTCTTCAAATAGGTCTATTAGATGAGATAGTATAAATAATAAAGTACTATATAAATGTGCTTGTTATTTTGAGTTTAGAATAATTTTTTGAATGTTCTTATAGGCTGTTCTGCCTCAGAGCAGAATTTTGACTCTTGGAATTTAAAATGAAAATATTTGTATTACCTTTGTGGTGGAGGAGGTTAAGTTGGTGATGGTGCTTTTATATTACTTCTAATGGCCTAAAATTGGTTTCAGTAGGTTTTGATGTTATTGGAGAAAAACTGCTTCTCACAGTTGAAAGTAATGTCAATCTGAGAGTAATCTCATGTTGTAACACAGCAGTAAAGCAACTAGCAGAAAGACATATTTCCGTAGAATGTATTGTGTCTTTATGTTATTCTTGGGATTTTATACTCAGTGACTTACACATACATACTGAGTAAAGGTTTGATGTGTGAATCTTTATTATGACCATTTTACTTGTTGGTTAATCATATTGATTATGTACTGTGTGTCAAACATGGTACTGGATGATGGACAGGCAGCATCAAAAGAAGTAGGAGATATGGCCCCTAATCAGAAGACTACATGAGATGGCAGATATGTAAGGCAGCAAAATATTCTAGCAAAGATTAATGGAGTATAGAATGATTATATCAGCTCTCAGGCGGTGGGTATAGAGGGGTTGGGTTTTGAGAAAGTTGATGGATGTGCATTGATTGATAAAGAGGATAAGGGAGAAAAAAAATCCCTGTTCTAAAAAGAAGGTATGGTGTGCTGCAGGGTGACAGCTGAGAATCACACAATTGTCCTTTGGAAAGCAAGCAAATTATATTGGTTTGAGTGGAACTTTGTGTAGAAGATAGTAAGAAACCAGGTTATAGAGTGTGGAGGTGTTGATTTTGAGCCATAGTCTGAAAGAAAGACATTTTTGATTGTCCTATACGTTAATAGATAGACGAAATTAAAGAATTTCATGTGGATGAAGCAAGTTTTATGGACACTGACTTATTTTAAGATGAACTATGAAGCAAATTAAGACACAGTGTTACTGAGTTTGGGTGTAATTCGCAAAATGAAAACCCATTCCTTGTTGGCATTTGAAAAGGACTGCTTGCAGAATAAGTGAATGTACAAATAAGTGAATTTACATGTTATGACTGGCTACATAAGGGAAAATAAAAGGGATTTTAAAAAAAGTATAATGATGCTAACTGAAATTTGAGTAGGGCTGAATTTCACATATTTTTCTTTTGTTCTAGGGTTGCTGCTTTTGCTAAGAGGGCATCCATGACCCTGATGTTGTTTTCACTCAAGATAAAGTACTTTATTGCCTTTACTGATTAACTGAACATTTTCAGGTTAGTATATTTTGTGGACAGCACTTCCCTATTCCAATTATATGTTAATATTTTGAAAAATGGGTAATTTTATAGTTAAAGTCATATATGTATGTACCAGTGAAGTAGAAAGCCCAACTCAGTCTAAACTCTATTGAATTGTGTATTAATTAGGAAACATTTTCTGACTACCCATTGTGTACAATCTGCACTGCATAAAATGAAAAATACTTTACTTCCTTTTTAATAGTTTTGTACTTTAAAGTATGGGCCTGAATAAAACAAGCTGTGGCTAACTGTGGCATATCAAACTTTTGGTACCTTTGTGCGGCATATTTGATGCTGAAAATAAACAACTCATCTTAAAAGTTTCTGACTTTTTAGTAGTTGGCTTTTAAAAGTATCATTCTTACCCAGATTTCAGTCATACATTAACGTTTTTATTTATTTATTTTTAGTGTTCAGGCTATGTGTTTTGACAAATGTATATTTATCACCACAATTAAAACAGTTCTATAACCTTCCAAATTTACTCATGTTGCCCCTTTGGAGTTAACTTCTCCTTCCACCCAATTCCTAGCATTTGTTTTCTGTATCTAAACTTTGCCTGTTCCAATGTATCATTTAAATGTAATCATCTAGTATGTAGCTTTTTAAGTCTGGCTTCTTTTACTTAGCATAATGCATTTGAAGTTTATCCATGTTGCCGTGTGTATCAGTAGTTGTATGTGTCAGTAGTAAGTTCTTTTTTTAATTGCAGAGTAGTGTTCCACTGTATGGATATACCACAGTTTATTCCTATACCAGCTGATGAATATCTGGAATATCTGGGCTCTTTCTAGTTTTTGGTAATTATATAGCTGCTGCAGTCATATATTAAAAATAAAAAGGTGATTCTATATTCTTTATTAATAGCAGTTACTTTTTTGTTGCTGTTAAAGAGACCACAAGGATGTAACTATTGCATTTTGGGGCCATGATTGCATTTTTTAAAAAAATGTCATTAAAAAATAACCAGAAAAAAATTTTTTAACAGACGTGGTGGCTAGGGGAAGAGACCTGCAATATATGGTCATTTTGAGTATAGAAAGAGAAGTAATGAAAAATTATAAGAAATGGGGTATATTGGAACTTGAGGAACTTTTGGAAAAATCAGGTAGCTTCTCAAGTGCAGAGGTAGATCAGAAATATACAGGTAGATTTATATAGTTAAGCTCCAAAAGTTATCTGATTATAAAAGTCAAGTAAATTATTAGAATTCTCTTATCTTAAAAATTTACTTGAAGAGGTCAAATGTTGGGCATGAAAAAATCAATTTAAGCCTTCTTGAATGAATATTTAGGATGAATGTGGTAGAAACTGTCCTTCTGCCTTGGGGAAGTTACTGAACTCAAAAAGTAGCTTTGAAAAGCTGTTTGAATATTTATAAGAAATACCTGGTTTATAATTTGTTATAGAAATAAAAATGCCTTGAGAAAATATTATGGTCTGACTCAGAGAATGTTGGTTGGTTTTAGAATTCAGCTCGTAAGCATGGACCATAAAAGAGTCATAGCAACTTCAAACTATTCTCTTGTTTCTGAATATTTTTAGATGAATTATATGACTTTCATAGTATCTGTATAGATAAATGGTAGGCTATGTTGTGTTCTAAGAGAACACTTCTAATCAGGCAAGACATTTTAGGCAGAGTCAGCATTTTAGAGATGTTTCTGAGAGAGAATAATTTATTTGTTCAATGGGCAAATGCAACACAAGAGTCAAAGACAGTTCTGTGCTCAAAAGTCACTATTTCTTTGGGAATTCAGGGTACTTAATTTTAAACCAGAATTCCAATTTCCATATTTACCTAAAGTATTTGTGAAAATAGGGCTCTTATTTATTTATTTATTTATTTGGGTTCTTGTTTAACTTTCAATTCTGTAAATTTTAAATTAATCTATAAAGGAATATTTTGCGTTTATTACAAAATAAAAAAAATTTGTTAGATTTTTCCGGCTGTATATTCAACATCAGCATATTTTTGTCATCTATTTGAAAATTAAGATCATATCTTGTACCATTTGTACAGTGGCCAGTTTTAACATAAAATCGTCTGGAAAAGAAATAAATTAAAACTGAGTTTTGTAAACAATATTAAGTTGAGCAATTTAACTTTATCTCAATTCAGTGATCTCAGGGTGAACAGAGTTAGGGTGATGAGTAAAATGGATACTACACTATGTTTCTCCAGTTAGCTGTATGATTAAAAGCATATCACTTCACCTCTCTGTGTCTGTGTTTTCCAATTTACAAAAAAAAGGCATAAGGTATTCATTAAGGTCAGGTATAACTGGTGAAATTTAAAACAACCGAACAGATTCTTTTATTTCATGAGCACTACCAGGCCTAGAAAACTAGTGATAAAACTTGTTCAAGGTATTATTCTAGAAATGGAACATTTTAAAATAAAAATAAGATTTAAACATATCATAAGTATTTACTTTTGGCTATTTGATGTATAAGCATGTTATGAGATTGTTACTCAATTGAAGTGGTTTTACAGATTTTTGAGAGAAGTATATATTTTTTGCTCCATCTTTTCCCTTCTGAAACATCTTCTACTCATTGTATTATACCAACTTCATCCTGATTCCCTGAAAATCTTTTTACCCCTTTAGGACAAAGGCAACAGCTATTGGGAGACATTTCTCTTGGGTGTCATGAGGCTCAGTGTTTCTGCACATCAACTGAGAAGAAGCATTGACACGTTTTGCTGGGGGCTTTTTCAAGGAAATCTGTACAGCAAACAACCTAGGACAATATAAGCAGTGTCTCCATCAGTACAGGGGGAAGATTTCTTTGCTGTCTAGGAAAATAAAGACAATCCTTCTAGAGAAAAGGATGGGCATACTTTCTTGCAGCTCTTTTAAAATACTGGAGTTTCATAAGCTCAGGTTTCTTCTCCTGTAATACAACACATTGTGTGTCCAGGCATCTCTTGGTTCTCTTTGCATTTCTCCTGAGGAATTAGAGCTTGAGGAACTAGTACAAATGATGATACTCTAGGTATTGTTATTGTTGCGAATAATAAACTGTTCTTTGTTTCTGACTGAGGAGCATCATATCTTCTGCTAGGGTTATCTGATGCTAGCTTACTAAATATCATTAATACATCCTATAAAACAAAGCTGAGTTTATTGCTTATTGCTATAAGGAAGAATACCACCTTGACAGAGCTTTGATAGTATCTGCATAAGTCCATTTCTGTTGCCTGTAACAAAATACTTGGAACTGGATAATTTGTTAGAAAATGAAATTTATTGCTTATAGTTTGTGAGGCTGGGAAGTCTGAAGTCCAGGGAACATGTCTTGTAAGGGTCTTCTTTGGCAGTGGCTTTGTAGCAATGCAGGGGTCTCCATGGTGGTCCCACTCTCACAGCTCTACTAGACATGGCCCTGGTGGGGTTTCTCTGCTGCAACTCCGACATTTCCTCTTGGCATCACTCTAGCAAGACTCTATGCAGTGAATCCGCCCCTGCGACAGATGTCTTCCTGAGCCCCCAGGCTTTTCCATACATCCTTTGAAATTGGGGTATAGGCTCCCAAGCTTTCACAGCTCTGGAATTCTGTGAGCCTGCAGACCTAACACCACGTGGATGCTGCCAAACCTTCCAGTGTGTAGCTGTAGGTCCATCCACACCTGGGGCCAATTCAGCCACAGCTGGAGCAGCCAAAGCAGCTGGGGTGCTGGTGTGGGAAGCAGCATGGAGAGTGCCTCGGGCCTGTTCCCCAAGACCATTCTTAGAGGAACAAAGTTAAGGTCAAAATTTGAGAGTTTGAAGTTTAGTTTGAGTTGGGTCTTTCAGTCGTGGTGACGGGGCCTGATTAGGATTGGGTAGGTAACATGATAGAACAGTTTAGGATTGATGGAAACAGTAAAGCAAGGATTTTGAAAACTTGATGCTTCCTACTGAAGAGTTGATGAAACTTTCCAGAAGGTTTGTAATGAACAATCAGGTTATATCCCTGCAAGTCTCCTAGAATAGTAAAGTTATGCTAATGAAGGCAATGGACTAGTAAATTCATGCTAATGTACACAGAAAGCTGTGTGTGTTTGGAAATATTAGTTTTCTAGGGCTGCTGTAACAAAGTACCATGAACTGGATAGCTTAAAACAACAGAAATTTATTCTCTCATAGTTCTGGAGGCTAGAAGTTTGAAATCAAGGTGTTGGCAGGGCCATTCTCTCTTCGAAGACTCTAGGGAAGAATCCTTTCCTCCCTCTTCCAGCTTCTGGTGGTTTCCAGCAATCCTTGGTGTTTCTTGGCTTGTGACAGCTTAACGTCAATCTCTACCTCAGTATTCACATGGAGGTCTTCTCTCTGTGTGTTATCTGTGTCCAAATTTCCTCCTTCTTATAAGGATATCAGTCATTGGATTAGGGCCCACACTAATCCAGTGTGATGTCATATTAACTTAATTATATCTGCAAAGACCCTATTTCTGAATCAGTTTCCATTCACAGATTCTAGTGTATGAATTTTTGAGGCAGTGTTCCACCTAGTACTAGCTGTGTGTGGATAGGTGATTTTGGTTCTCATGAATCCATGAAACTATAGCAGGCTAATTTTGTTAGCTTGCATGTAGGGTAAAATCTCAAGCTCTTCACAACATCATGGTGTAGTAGAAAGAATACCAGTCTGGAAGTCAAGGTGCCTTGGTTCTAGTTTCTGCTGTTATTAACTAGCTTGAGAAAGTTCCTATCTTCTCCAGCTATTAGTTTTCTCATGGTTAAAATGGAAGGCCTTGAGGGAAAGAGGAGAAATGAACCAAATGATCTCTAAGGAACTTTCTAGCTTTCAGATTTTGAAGTTCTGTAATTTAGTGCCTACTGTATACCATATTTATAGTAGTTTTTTTGGAGTCACAAAATAAAAAGGAAATAGAGGATGCTATAAGTGCTGATCAGATAGGTTCTGACTTACGAATGTAGTATCTACAGATTAATTTAAAATGTTTTGTTTACTTGGGTAAAAATC